GAGCTCCAGAGATTATCTCCTCCCCTAAAGACGAAGGCACAGAGAAACAAAGTCAGCTTTAATGTATAATGATCCAAAAAAAGGGATAAATGGAATAAGAAAAAAAAGTCATTTATTTGTTTTTTAGTAGGTGATTTTTATATATTTCAATGAGAAGTTCATTATGCAGGCCAAATGAAGGAGAGAATAGAGAAGGAGAAAAGGGCCATGTCAAGGAATATTATAGGAAGCATAAGTGGACATAAACAAGCAATAGTTCAACATAGAGAATAAGAAATACACTAATAATAACCAATGATAATAACAACAAAGGTAGTAACAAAGCCACCTGGGGTGGAGGTAGAATATATGCAAGATCTATAACATGGATATCTGGACTCTAAGATGAGCTTGCGGTACAGGTATATGGATAACAGACTCATATGGACAGGTGTACGATATGAAAACATGGCCTCCAGAATTAGCATCTGAGTGCAGGCATGTCTGGATAACAGATCTATATGATACACAAGCTTTGCCACTATTTTGAAGTATAGGTTATCCCATTGGATCCCCAGGGTACTTCATGGTACAAGCCTATAAAAATTTAAGTTGAAATATCTACCATGTCACCAAGAATACACCTCTTCCATAGTGGTACCAACAACCAACCTGTCCTCAAAAACTATATTCAATTTGAGATGCTTAAACTTGTAGGACTCCAGATATTCTACAAGATTATCACGTTCTGTTTTTGATGAAACAGAGTAATTGGACTCCCATTCCTATTCTATTTTGAAATTTAAATAAAAAATAACACATCATTAATCAACATGCCTAGTGAAAGTAACTTGAATTACGCACCATTTTTCTGAAGATGTAACTAGGAATGTACTTCTTTTGACACCAATTCAGCCAACGATCTCATGAGCACCACTAGTAGTTTTATTTTAAAATATAAAAGATCCGAAAGATACTTGTAAAATGATTGATTGAAATTCAAAAACAAAAATAGAAATAATAATATAATAAAAAGGAAAATTAAATTGCAAGGATAAGACAATGCGCAACAGTGTGAGAGAAGGTAAGCTGATTAAATGGCTTCAAAGGAAAAGAGATGTAACCACTGTTGCTAAAGGAAATGACCCACACTACACAATCCAAGACCTATTTTCCCTTGCTAATGTAATTTTTATTCCTTCTCTCTTTGTTTTATTTTCCAGTCATAGGTAAGAGTTGAATGTGAGCTCCATCCCGCCCCCCCTCTCTCTCTCTCTTTGTACAAAGCATATGCAATTTAGATGCTTAGCTCAACAGAAGTTTTTTCGGGGTGAATAAGCTCTAAAGAAGTTAAAACAGCCAAGAATGCATCAATAATCATTGATTATTTATTATGTTGGCTGAAAAAACATAAACTTGCCAATGGGAAATCAAGCATAGTCCCAGGTAAAATTAATATCTCCAAAAATGCAGTCAGCTTGATCCATGAATCTAGTAGTCAATAGCAGCACATCTAATAGAGAGTTTAAAAAAAAAAAAAAACTACAAATTAGCATTTTCTAATGCATTTCTTAATAACATTAAGTACACAACAAAGACTCAAAATGTTTATAACCATGCACATCATAGAACTCAACTAACTAGACTGAATCTGAAGCCAATCAACAAATAAGTGAGAAGGAGGAAGGAAATCCAATTATAATGGTTCAGAATGAACCTGAGTTTGTCATATCTACTTCTTCTTCTTTTCTTTCTTTGATATGTGAACTTGCATTTGATAAGAACAAATAACATGAATAAAATGTCATATGAAAATTTCATAATTAACTATTACTCACTTCCTCGGACGAACGATGACAATTAAACGATGAGGTGTATGCATGGGATTGTTGTTGTGAATGCACATGTGTAGCAGCTGGTGCAACAGGCCCACCCATGGCCTGTTGAGACTCTAATTGCTCTATTCGTGCTTGTTGAGCTTGGATTGTGCTTTGCATCTCCATTTGTACTTTTTATTGATTAAGCATAGCATCCATCATCTCCTTCATTTGCATCTCCATTTGTGCTTTATATTGGTTAAGTTGCTCTTGGACTTGCGTTTGGATGATACGAGTTTGTTCTTGCGATTGCCTATATCCGCCTCCAAAGACATCTGTCGGGGAAGGACCCAATCCATATGTTCGAACACGACCAGGTCGCTCAGGCCCTAGAACCTATGTGATAATTTCTTCATCTGTAGCATTGGATTGCGCCCCAAGGTCCTTCATTTGTGTCTACAATTGTTAATTAGTAATTAGCCACCAATAAAATTGTTCATAAATAGTGCCGTTAAATGTAACCTGCTTCCATTGGGCCATATGAATTCAATAACATCATCAATCCAGATTCAAAATTGTTTCAATGACACTTCCACTTCATATGCTCAAATTCAGAACTCATAAAAATACAGTCCTTCACTTGTAGATTTGGCAGCAAAAAAAGGTAAATGGAAACTGTTAAATTATAGAAAATTAAATTATGAATACTAACATTAAATTATAGATTTCATGATTAGGTCTAAATTATAAATTATAGATTTAATGTTATAAATCTGAGTTATTGTTTCTCCTTTTTCCCCAGTAATTTCATAACATTTCTTTAAAAAATAAATAAATAAACAAATATGAGACAAGTATCTAATACATTCCATACATGCAAAGTATATAATTATGGTGCTACATACCATGACCGCAACAACTTTATCATTACTTGGTTTGTTATCCTTCGTGTACCCAGCCATCCACACCTCTAAGCGAGTTGCAGGAACTCCATTCTTCTTATTAGTTTCCTATAATTACACTTAAAATTAAGTAACAAAATCAAAATATACAATTTCAATTTGAAATATAAAGAAACTATATACCTCTACTCGAACAACTGAGAATGGTTTTCTTCCAGTTATGTGATTTAATGTCTTCTTCTTCCGAATTTCTTTGTTTTTTATACTTTTTTTCTGTTACATATGAACACAAACACAAGATAATTTATTAATTAACAAACTCATCTTATGAGATTACGATAGAGTTATATAAACAATTTAAATGATACCTGTGCCTTCCGAGTGCCCCAATAATAGACTAAGCTTCGCCATTGATGCTCATGTACTCTTTCGGGCCGATGAGTTAACCTATCAGCATCGTTGTCGAATGGTGTATACCTCAATTGTTTAACTCTAGCCTTCCACTCTCTCCATTTTTTTCCAACAGATGCCAAAACAAATTTCTTCATTGACTCGTCGGCATCTGTATTGACCTGCAAATAATTGGCAACTTTGTGACTATTGCATACACACAGCAGCAACAACATACACGCAGCGGCATACACACAGTAGCAAGCCCACAGCAGTAGCTAATTTCACAAATCAAGATAATATTAGTCGTTCCTGTGACCCAACGATGATGATTGAAAAATTCCAAGTGTGCAATGGCAATGCTAGTATTTGTCTTACAAACAAGCACTATTTTGGGTAATTGAATATAATAATTTTTATTTTTTATTTTTAATCATTTTCCTGGAAGGTAGAAAGGTCAAAGCCAGGAAGCCAAACAGCAATGCCGAAGAAAGAAAAAAAATACAAAATATGAAACAAATAAAATAAATAATAACAAATTAAGATTAAAATAGATATGTAAAATGAAATAATTCTTTTACCTTTACTTCTCTCCAAATTCTCTCTTTGTTTTCCTTCGGTACATGGCTCCAAGTTCTATAAGTGAGGGGCATAAGGTTCCCATCTCGAGCTAAAACACCCAAACGAGAAGCCAACGATGTATACCCGTCAACCACTTGGTTCAACTGATTAGGCACAATATGTAAAATGCTACCACTCGGGTTCCAATCACTACCATGCATGAGTGTTGGGCCTCTCGAACTATGACCTACTCATCCAAATATCAATATCAAGTTAGAAGATACTAGAAAGAATGATAATACAAGAATTGAGTAGTCAATGGAGCAAATGGAGTAGTGTCACTTAGTTTAAAAAAAAAAGAAATATAAACATCAAAAGAAAAAAGAACATCAACAGAGAAATCTAATGGAGTAATTCAATTGAATAAAATAATTCATACCAGCAGTAGTGTCATGTGTCGAACCAGTACTCGATGATGTACTAGGCAAGCTACCTGGAGGATACCATGACATGGGTGGATCAGGTATGATGCGTGTATTCTCGTCTGAACTTTCATCTGAACTCCCACTATAAGAACTCTCACCTGCACTCCCACTGTAAGAACTCTCAGAATTTGCAGAGGCTGAATGTTGCCTCTCCCTAGAGCATCGTTGATCTGTCATGCTAGTTTACAGAAGACCACAAGCATACGTGTAGAATTTTATGGGTTAGCAATGAATATAAAGTCCAAAATATTAAAAAATTTCTCTACAAATTTAAATTTTAAACACAATCATAATATAACAGATATGATCTTTCTTAAGGACATAAAAGGTTGTCTCAAGGACAATCACGTTGAAAAGCAAACAAATGACACATTTTAAAAGCAAAGGTTTTATTAACATGCATATCCATGCTAAAAGCACAAATGTAACAATGAATATGAAACAAAATTACAATATCATATCATTTCTTCATCATCTTCAGATTGTGTCTGTGTCGATATCCCAAGAGGTCCAATAGTTTTATCAATAGTTGTTCTAACTTCACCTTGCCTAACCCAATTTATGTCCTCTTCACAAGCAAACGAAGTTACATCTAACTCTTGGTCGCCAAATCCTTCCACTTCATTATGATGTTCTCCATCATTAATTGGTTGTTCTCCACACACCTCATACAAGTCTCTAGGTTTCATCTTGACTATAACATCCCAATCAGCTTCAACGGGATCATTAACATAGAAAACTTGTTATGCCTGAGATGCTAGGATGAATGGCTCATCACTATTTTATTTCTTTGTATATAACAAATGATTGAAATTAACAAGTGTGAAACCAAACCCATCCTGCTTTAGTCCTTTGTTGTTGTCAATCTAGTCGCACATGAATAGCACATATCTACGGTCGTATGAGTAATACAATTCAATAATATCTGTCACATATCCATAGTATGCTACTTCACCTTCCACAGGATTCATGTCTCTGGTACTTGCATAGCTACAAGTCTTTGCTTTCACCATAACCCCACTATTTTGAGTTTTTCTTCTCCACTCACGACTCCTCGTATGATACCTAGTACCATTAATTATATACCCATTGAATCTCGTGGCCTTTTTACTAGGTCCCAATGCCAAAGTTTTAATCTCATCTGACAACACAGCATTTTCAATAACTAGAAGCTCTTCAACCTATTTTTACAAAGTCAACAAAATTAAACATCAACTAACAGAGAATTAAAAATTGAAAACATGAGAATTGAAAATTAAAAACATGTAAGTTATTAGTACTTACATGAGAATTAAACCATCTGGGAAACTCATCATTGTGACGGCAATCCACATCAAAATCTTTGAGACAACGAAGTGACCGCTTAATAAAATCACGATGCTCCCTATACATTTAAAGTACCTATAAAATGCAAGATACTTATTAATGGTATCAATAAAATTTTGGAACAAAGATTGTATCTTACTCTCGATATGGGACAACCGCAGCAGTGTTAAATAACACATACCGATGAGCTTGTACCCATGATGTGTTATCAAGCGCAAACCCTTTTCCTTTTCCTAAAGCATGACCCAGTAATATCCCAGGATTGTCGCTAACATCGTAATTCCTTATTGGTCGATTCAATTTTGACTCGACATCATCCAAGTACCTTGAGCAAAAGGTCATACACTCTTCAACTAAGTATCCCTCTGCAATTGAACCTTCTGGATGACTTCGATTACGCATATATGACTTAAGTGTCATAAGATACCTATAAACAAACAAATGCACACATGACTTTCAATTATAAACAAACAAATGACTACAACCTTAAATTGGAGTAGAATTGCACACCTTTCTATGAAGTACATCCAGCGATATTGCACTGGACCAGCAATCTTGGCCTCCTCTGCTAGGTGAATAGGCAAGTGCTCCATTATATCGAAAAAGGATGGAGGAAAAATTCTCTCAAGATGACAAAGTGTAAGAGCAATTTGGGATTGAAGACGATCTAACCCATCTGGCTCTAAAGTTTTGGAGCACAACTGCCTGAAGAAATTGCTTAACTCAATCAATGGTTCAACAACTTTTTTCGGTAACAAATTTCTCACTGCTATTGGAAGTATTTGTTGCATCAATATATGGTTGTCATGACTTTTCAGTCCAGATATGCTATGTTGTTTGAGGTTAACACGACGAGAAATATTGGATGCATACCCATCTGGAACTTTGATATTCTTCAGGAGTGTACAAAACAAACCTCTCTCTCTATTGTTCATAGCAAAACATGCAGGCGGCAAAAAATACCTGTTCCCAACCCCTTTTTTAGGATGTAATGCCTTTCGAATTCCCATATCTTGCAAGTCTCGACGAGCATTTAAATTATCCTTTCCTTTCCCATCAACATTTAATATCGTCCACAATACATTATCACACACGTTCTTCTCAATGTGCATTACATCAAGATTGTGGCGAATCAAATTATGCTCCCAATATGGAAGCTCAAAGAAAATACTCCTCTTCCTCCAATTATGATCCCCCTCGTTGTCCTCTTTTTCCTTTCCTTTCCTAGTTCTTTTTTGTCTGTTAGTTGGTTGATGCTTAGGCCCTAGCTGTCGTAACACATTAGCCCCCGATAACCGAGTTGGACATGGTTCAAATTCAGAAGTTCCATCAAAAGACGCAGCATCTTTTCGAAATTTGTGACTCGCATTCAACCAGCGGCGATGCCCCATGTAACAAATTTTCCTTCCATTCTTCAAATACCGATGTCGAGTACGTATGTTACAACAAGGACAAGCTAAAGCACCTTTCGTGCTCCATCCAGACAAATTTGCAAATGTAGGAAAATCATTTATTGTCCACAGTAAGACCGCGTGCTGGCTCATCACTATTTTGTTTCTTTGTATATAACAAATGATTGAAATTAACAAGTGTGAAACCAAACCCATCCTGCTTCAATCCTTTGTTGTTGTCAATCCAGTCGCACATGAATAGCACATATCTACGGTCGTATGAGTAATACAATTCAATAATATCTGTCACATATCCATAGTATGCTACTTCACCTTCCACAGGATTCATGTCTCTGGTACTTGCATAGCTACAAGTCTTTGCTTTCACCATAACCCCACTATTTTGAGTTTTTCTTCTCCACTCACGACTCCTCGTATGATACCTAGTACCATTAATTATATACCCACTGAATCTCGTGGCCTTTTTACTAGGTCCCAATGCCAAAGTTTTAATCTCATCTGACAACACAGCATTTTCAATAGCTAGAAGCTCTTCAACCTATTTTTACAAAGTCAACAAAATTAAACATCAACTAACAGAGAATTTGAAAACATGAGAATTGAAAATTAAAAACATGTAAGTTATTAGTACTTACATGAGAATTAAACCATCTGGGAAACTCATCATTGTGACGGCGATCCACATCAAAATCTTTAAGACGACGATGTGACCGCTTAATAAAATCACGATGCTCCCTATACATTTAAAGTACTTATAAAATGCAAGATACTTATTAATGGTATCAATAAAATTTTGGAACAAAGATTGTATCTTACTCTCGATATGGGAAAACCACAGCAGTGTTAAATAACACATACCAATGAGCTTGTACCCATGATGTGCTATCAAGCGCAAACCCTTTTCCTTTTCCTAAAGCATGACCCAGTAATATCCCAGGATTGTCGCTAACATCGTAATTCCTTATTGGTCGATTCAATTTTGACTCGACATCATCCAAGTACCTTGAGCAAAAAGTCATACACTCTTCAACTAAGTATCCCTCTGCAATTGAACCTTCTGGATGACTTCGATTACGCATATATGACTTAAGTGTCATAAGATACCAATAAACAAACAAATCCACACATGACTTTCAATTATAAACAAACAAATGACTACAACCTTAAATTGGAGTAGAATTGCACACCTTTCTATGAAGTACATCCAGCGATATTGCACTGGACCAGCAATCTTGGCCTCCTCTGCTAGGTGAATAGGCAAGTGCTCCATTATATCGAAAAAGGATGGAGGAAAAATTCTCTCAAGATGACAAAGTGTAAGAGCAATTTGGGATTGAAGACGATCTAACCCATCTGGCTCTAAAGTTTTGGAGCACAACTGCCTGAAGAAATTGCTTAACTCAATCAATGGTTCAACAACTTTTTTCGGTAACAAATTTCTCACTGCTATTGGAAGTATTTGTTGCATCAATATATGGTTGTCATGACTTTTCAGTCCAGATATGCTATGTTGTTTGAGGTTAACACGACGAGAAATATTGGATGCATACCCATCTGGAACTTTGATATTCTTCAGGAGTGTACAAAACAAACCTCTCTCTCCCGACGAACGCGCGAAAACATTTAGAGAGGCCGAGCAAGCTCGTATGACATAAATATGTGATTTATGTGAATGTATCAGTGTCTATCAATTGCTAATCTTTTAGTCATTGCACATTAAAAGCATTGAACATTTCTACTGGGCTGTGGCTCACCCTATATGGGAATATCATTTTCAGGTGCAGGTAGCATGCCACCTCCAAGGGCATAGCTGGGAGGCTAGAGGCAGGCATACTTTTGTTGCTTAACTTTTGATGTATTACATGTAACTTCAAGCCAAGGGCTTAATGTGTAAACGAGTTAGTACTCTTTGTTGTAGCCAAGTGTTAACTTGGAAAGCTGTAAGCCCGTAGGGCATTTTGTTGTGATGTTATCATGTAATACTTATGTAATGGAACTCTAAGGAATAAAGGAATGTGGTTAGTTTATATGTAAATGCATGTCTTATTTGATGGGTATAATGTTCTTATTTTGAGGGCATTACAAGAAGCATGCACAATAGTCTAATATTTAAAAAAACAACAACATTAGCATATTGGAACAATACGAAAAATAGATAATGAAACATAATGGATTAAAGATACCTTATTACAATTCCATTGGATCAATGTAGTCATTCCATTGGATCAATGTAGTCATATTCCATTGGATCAATGCAATACAAAGCCTAAATGACATGAATAAATTAAAACGGTCCTAAAATAGGCTAAAACAGCACTGAAATTTAGGTAAAAACATCTACAAAAACAAGCTAAAAAAATGGAGCAATTAAGCTAGTGAACAAGCCAAAGGAGAAGAGGCTAACCCCTCTATTTTTGGGACTTCAAAACCACATTTTAGCCTTTAAAAAACCTCTAAAAATCAGTATTAAAAAGGTCAAAAAAAGTGGATAAAAAGATGGGAAACACAAAGGTAAAAGCTTAGGAAGCAAGGTTCAAAGAAAGGTGGTCAACCCCTCTACCTTAATGGCCTTAAACCACAAGTTTCAGCCCATAAAAACAATTGAAAAATAGTCCAAAAATAGTAAGAAAAGATAGGAAAGAAGTAGTGCAAAAGAGCTAGGATGTATACCTCTTGAAGATGAGTGATCCTTTTGTTCACAAACCAACAATTTCACACCCTCAACAGCTAAAATGCAAGCTCAAACACCTCAGCAAAGAACCCTCGCGGTTTGGTTTAGAATGTCTAGGCAAAGGGTATAGAAGTTGCAAGGGAGAGAGAGAAATGTAGAGAGAGAAATATTTTCCAAGACTTTTCTCCACAAAATTTTCTAACCCTAAATTATGAGAGGGAGTCATCTATATTTAGAAATTTATGAGACTATCTTGAAAATATCCATACAGACACAGTTGGTGTAGTGCATGCATCTGTGGAGACAGCTAGCACAGTTGTAAAAAAGATCTATTTTTTTACGCAAGTGGCTGGCAGGCCACTAAAAAGGGGCAGCTATCCACTAATAGTGGCCAGCAGGCCACTAGTGGGTCTGCAGGTCTCTAGATGGTCAGGCTTGAAAAACTACTATTTTGGTCCAAAAACAAGGCACAAGGTTTATAGGTTTTTGAGGCTCAAAACTGAGATTTCTTGCTGAGAAAATCAAGCATTTAGACAAGCATGTAAATTCATTATTAGGTGATCAATTGGTGGCACTCAAGTCTTAAGGGCGGTCAAAAATTGGGTGTCTACAATAGCTCAGGGGAGGACTGGGATGTGTAATGGGTATGTTAAGGTGGGGAAGTTTGTGGTATAGGCATTGCTGTAGATGGAAAATGAGGTGATCGACCCATGGAAGGCCCCTCACCAAAGTGTTCCACATCGAAATGGTCAGATTGATGTGCATGACGTTGTAGCTTGCTTTTCGTGCTCCTCTCGGATACGACTAGCTCTACAGTTCGGACTCTCATGGTTCTAAATCTAATTCTACAAGTGCAATGTGAAATAGATAAACACAAATGAGTTCAAATTCGACAATTCTTTTAGAAAATTGATTTTGAATAAAAATGTCAAAAATGGACTGATTTGCCAGATATAGAGTCGCCACCTAAATATTTTTGAAAAATTTAGAAAACCCGAGACTCATGCCAAAGGCCACTTATTGGTCATCACCAAAGTTATCTCGGCTCGAGAACTTAGGTACGAGAGGGGAAGGTCATGAATTGAGCACCCCTGCTTGCCCGATCAAAGATTGGCCTCTACTTGTCACACCCCAAATCCGGGCACGACCGGCCGTGGCCCACAGGGACTTAGCCCAAGGCACACGTAAGCCTAAACACGAATCCAATCACATTGAACAACTGAACAATAGTCCAATAATAAATAAGTAAAACTCAATCCAGACATGTCACAATTATAAACGGCAAAATCAACCGTAATCAAAAACCATCCAAACTTATGGGATATAAACAACCCACATATCAAAAATAATCCTAAATGAACTTCGATAAGAATAAATATAAATATGCACAAACTTGACATAACACTCTAAACAAAAGGAATGCCCTAGAGGTCCATGCAATTGAGTCCCCGCTACGCCATGAGTCCACTCTAAGTCCTTCTAACACCTGGAAATGGTAAACAACTAAGTCAACAGTAGCTCAGAAAACAGTTTTTTTTTAAAGAAGTGCCAAACATGAATTGCTTTGCCAGATACAGAGTCGCCACCTAAATATTTTATTTTGAGGGAATTTAGGAAACCCTGACTCGTTTGCCTAAGGCCACGTGTCCGTCATCACCAGAATTGCCTCGGCTCGAGAACTTGGGTACGATTGGGGAAGGTCAGCTATGAGCACCCCTTCACTTCTCGCCCGATCCGAAGATCGGCCTCTACTAACCATGATATCTTGTTTTGAAAACATTATGCGTTCTTATTTCAGTTTAATTAGCTAGAATTTACTATGTGATGCGCACGACACACAAGTATAGACCAGATCGCCTAATTTGGAACAAAGCATTGCATACCCGTTTGTTTGGAAATGTTTTGAAGTTTGCTACTCGCAAGTAGGCTAAAATACGGATTTCAATGAATTGTTCCAATTCAAGCAATCCAACCTTCACCCACATGCATTCAGGCAGATATATCACATAAGCATATAGCCAAATGGTAAGCATGATGTCATGTTAACACTTTCACTCATGCAAGGATGCTAAAACATAAATGCTTACCGAGTACTCCAAGCCAAAACAGAAACTAGTTAATAATCATATGCATAATCCTAGTTCATGTTAAGATGGCTAATGCAACACATGCAAGATGCAACTACAATAGGCTCGGCTATTCTAAGATGGCATATGATGATGCTACAACTAACACGTATTCAACTTGGAATTGAAATACAATGCAGTTAGTATGATGCGCCGAGCCCGATGCGTGCAATACTGATGAATGAATGCACGCATGCATAGCATAAGGTATGCTAAATTAAATATGCCCTAGTACTAACCATCAAAAGCAGGTAAGTAAAAGGGAGAAAAAAATGGGGGTTGGAAGACATGCACACACACGCCCACACTTATTACACATTCGCCCTCGCTCAGAGGGACCGAAAGAATAATACAAATTAATTAACTAACAAGCTAATTAATTATTACACAACACTTAACTAATTAACAAATTAATTAAGCTAAGAAAGGAATAAAGAGGCCTCGGGAAAGAGGGATGAATGCATGCATGCTCGGCTCCGCTCAGAAATCCATCGCCATGTCACATGCTGCCTCTGTTTACACTGCTTTGCACCTCTGAAAGCTGCATAAGTCTCCAGGATGCTTCTGAACCACCTTCTGAGCACTGTGGAAGGTCACTGGCCAAAAGTAAATGCCACCGGCCATCCATCGACCATGGATATTGATATCGGCCACAAATGTTTGGTCGATCGGCCATGTAGATGGCCAGCCGGCCATATCTTCCTGTAGAAACCTGTTTTGACAGCGGCAGAGGACAGACCAGGCATGGCAATGCATTTCAAGGAAAATGTTTGCACAACCAACCTCCCTATCATGTTATGAACTCAAGGGAGTATGGTGCTCGACCCTCGGACCACCAATCACGCATTTCCATGCATGATGGCCCAAGAGGCCAAATTATGCGTTTTGATTTCAAATGACATGCAAACCAAATAAACGCATAAAGCCCAACCTCTATCATACTCAATTCAAGAGGCAAAGCATGCATGCTCTATACAATGCAACCTAGGCATGGAGGCTAAGTATGCCACATGAACATGAGGGCAAGTATGCAAGTTAGTGAACATGCAAAGTGTAATCTTAACCATGGAAGCATGTAAGATGCAACATGGACAACATGTTAAGTACAATTCATGCCAAATGCATTACAACCTAAGCATGCAAAGGTGCAATGTATCAAACATGCAAAATGCAATGTAACAAGCATGGAACGAGGTCAAATATGCAACAACACATAGGGCAAGCATGCAACAACATGCAAGAATGGTCTTAAACTAATTTGGGCAGCTCTCAACTAGGCCCAAAACAGTGACCAAATGCTAAGGAAATGGGAGCCAAGTACACATACAATCACGCATGCAAATGGACTAACACTTAAGCATAAAGGAGGGACTCTTAAGCACACTTAAAAGAGATGAACATGGACACATGGCATGCATACTAAGCTCTGAAATTATGTTAGAAAATGTACCAAACCAACTATACAAATCAAGCAAAACATGCTCATGGCTTTACACACTCAAGGCCTACAAGCTAGAATGCAAAGAGGCCATACAAAACGTGTTGAGCATGACCAAAGCAACTGAAAACAGAGCTAAAGCATACTAAAACATGCATAAAAGCTTCACAAAGCTTGGCCAAAATCATGCTAGAATAAGGGTCAAAGCCTAAAGCATGTTAAGGCAAATTCATGGCATTACAAGACAAGCATGCAAGGCATGCATGGTGTGTCTAAACCAAGTAAAAAAAGTGCTATATCATGGAAAAATACTACCAAATACCTACTAAGACATGGCCAACATGGTCTTAAATAATATGCT